CAGGCTTTGGGAGAGAGAATAGGACATACTGGGGTGGGAGAAGGCTCAGGGAGAAGAGCCTGAGAGTATCACATTGCCCACTGTAGTCTGGAGGGGAAACTGAGGCGTAGGGCTTGACTGAAGCCCAGGTCTGGTTGTGAGGTGGGTGCATGTGTGGTCTGCATGAGTGGACGTGTCCCTGGGACAGTGGTGGAGCTGGATCTGGCGTCCTTCATATGAGGGCATGTGGACTGAGGATTGTACCTCTCCAGCCACATAGGCCTGTGGAGACTGAGGGAGGGCTTCCCGTGAGACCTCAGACCAGGCCCGGCCTGCAGGGGGCACTCTGGAAGCCTTGATCACTGTTGCCCCTTTCTCCTCCCAAAACTCTCAGCTTTTTGTACCTGTTTAGTGTGTTCTCCCTGTTCCTCCGCCTCTATTCCTGGGTCCTCTACCCTGTCCATCCTCAGAGACCTGCCACGCCCCAAGACCACCCTGTGGGCTGAGGCAGAATGCTGTGCCCCACGGAAGTGGGCCCATGTCCTCTGTACAGAAAGGATGAGGACTGGATTCCAGGAGAGCTTCTGCATAGCAAGGGCAGCATGACCTTGGAGAAGGTGCCAGAGAGCCAGGGACCTGTGGAGGCTTTGCCACTAATTGGTCTCGGTCCTTGGGAACTAGAGGAGGCAGAAGACCTGAAGTTACCCAGGCATGGATATGGGGACCCAGTTACTAGAGAGGCAGCCTGTGGTTTGGGGACTGAGCAGTCATCCACTTCAGTGGGAAGAGGGCCAGTGGTGGCCTCATACCATAATGTAAGTGCTCAGCCAGAGAGGGAACCCCAGCATGGTAGGAATGGGTAGGAGCCTGTGACCTTTTTCAGACAGTCACTGTGGCCCCAGAGTTCTGAGAGATCTGTGCTGCAGTGGAGGCCTGAGAAGGGTAGGTTCAGGTGTCAGCCACGCTGGGGTACTTGAGGACAGGCCAAACTGCATCTCCATTTTCAGGGCGCCTGCCTGATGCACGGCACATCTCCTATCGCTGATGCTGACATGTGCTGCCAGGGAAACCAGGCTCCTGGAGGGCAGGATGTGGATGGAAGGGACTCAGAGGCTGCCACCTGCAACCCTCCCAGCCAAGAAGCCAATGTACTGCTTATGGCAGAAGGGAGGGGGCGCTGGCTAGAGGACAGGGCACAGGGGCTGCTGTATGCAATGACAATAGCCACAAAGTCACCTGTGACTGCCCATTGTGAAGCCAGCTTTTGACTCAGGTTGGGCCTCTGGCAGCTGGGGTCTCACTAAACTCCCCATCCAGGGCTGATCCTCCTCTCCCTGCCCAGTGAGTGTGATGCTGCATCTGCATTCTCCTCCTGTTCCTTGACCTTGTGTAAACCACACACATGCATACACGTGTCCTCCTGCACATGCACACGCACACACACTCATGCACAAGTGCACACACGCACATATTTCTGATCCATCTCTTCCCCCGTCTCCCCAAGTGCTCACTGGACATAACCTGTGACCCTCTGCCCACTGCTGGGGGGTTTCTGCTGCCCTCTTGCTGTTCCTGTCCCCCGCAGTCATAGAGATCCCTAGTGAAGCTCGGACAGGTCCTGACTCCCAGTCACCCTCAGGACCCTGCTCAGGTGCCTTCCCTCTAGGGCACTGACCTTCTGTGCCTGACCCTGTCTTTGCTCCCTCTGCCTCAACTGCAGGCTGGTTCTGTAGCCTAGACTGTAGGCCCTGGCTTAGGGTTGGCATGGGGGCAGGGAAGTCCAATGAGAGGTTCCCTAGGTGTCCCTTGCTCTCTGTTTTGCGGTGAGAAGGCTGTGGAGTGTCTTACAAGAGGGGCCAGGCAGGTGGAAGTGAGGGGATCCTCACTGCTAGGGATGGAGCAGAGGCTAAATGTGGGCAGGTGGAGGCCAGTGCCACCTGTACCCATGGCCTTGGCTACTGCCCAGCCCTGCCCTGGGGCCTCTCACCAGATAGGTGTCCAGGGAGGGTGTGGCCTGTGCCATGAAGGCTGGCTAGCTCTTGTAAGTGCTGGGATGGTGGCAGGTACTGGCACTCTGGCTCCTCTGTGGGAACTGCTGCCTGGAGAACATAGTCCTTACTAGGGAGCACTTCTCTTCAGGAAATGGGCTCTTTGTGCTTCCTCTCTGAGGTGACCTCTGAGGCCTGTACAGTTCACTTGGTGCAGTGGACACCAGGTCCCTGGCACCCAGCACTGAGAGTGTCATTTTCTGATGGGTGATAGAGGCTCTGAAGAATCCTGTGCCTTCTAGCTCTGCACCTGCTCCAGCCCAGGCCCCCAGAACCAGAGCTCTCTAAGGGCAGCTGAGGGGAGAGGGCCCAACGCTGTCATCTGGGCCTGTGTAGGCCCTTCTGAGGAGAAGGTGGTGGGTTTCATGGTGACACTGCCTGAGGATCAGGGCCAACAGGATTACCTAGGCCATCTTGGCACCATGAGTAGGGGTTGGGGCAGAGTGTGGCTGGCCTGTGGGGTCTTGGCAGTATGGGAGGCAGTGACAGACTGGGCTTGCTGTTTCCACTGGCTTGGCCCACCTTCCCCAGGGCAGACCAGAGCTGATCCCTAGTTCTCCAAAGAACATTAGGGGGAGTTGTCCTGGGGCGGTGCTGCAGTGTGGGGCCACTACTGAGGCCCAGCCTGGGACTAGGGTCCCTGAGGCCCGGCTGGGGCTGAGGCTCCTCCCATCATCAGTCGCAGAGGAATGCACTGCTACCCATTCCGCTGCCAAGATGAGGCTGTCTATGGGATCCACCTCTCAGCTTCATGAATGGGGAAGGCAGCCAGGGCAGGTGAACTATGCAAGGCCACATCCAAGGTCTGGGGTCAGGACTGGGTAGGGTTTCAGGAGGTGAGGGACATGGGCATTGCTGCCCTGGTGTGCTGGGGGTGCCAGGATGAGATGCTGGTGACACAGGTGTGGCTTTCTTAAGGACCACAGGAGAGAGGCTGCATGTGGCTGGCCACATCTGCCTCAGTGATGCAGAAGCCTCTACCACACCCCTTTCCAGCCGGGGCCACTTCTGCACCAAATGGCTCTGCTTTGCCTGGCCTGCTCTTAGCCGGTTATGAGGGCAGGGACGACCCCACCCCTTTTACAGACAAGCTACCCAAGGCTCTCTGGGAAGGACTTGTCCGAGGAGTATCCAGCATCAAAGCTCCTGGCTCTGCCTGGGAGACCTATGCAGAAAGAATACCAGAAGGAGGAGTAGAGCCAAGATCAACCTTGTGTCACCAGCCAGCTGGGCCCCGGGCAGTAGGGGGCTGCTCCATTCTGGGAGCAGGAGGATAGCATGTGCAGGGTGTGGTGGAGAGGGAGACTGCTGTGTCCTATTCACAAGTGCCTGAGGACAGCCACACACCTTTTGGGGCTGAGGTCCCCCCCACCCCCCCACACCAGTTAGTCAGTCTATGGTTCAGGTCTGAGTCCAGCTCGTTGTGATCCTGGGGAATCAACTTATTCCCTGTGCCTTGGTTTCCTCATCATGAAAGGGAGTCACTGTGCATCCTCAAAGAAGTAGAGATGAGGCAAGGTGGCTCCATCGCCCTTTTGTCCCTGCCTGGGCCCTATGCCAGGAGCTGAAGGACATGAGGGGTAGGTAGGAGGTTGCGGGGAAAGCTCCAGGGGTCAGGCAATGGGCAGGGTCCGGCAGTCACTGCTGGGCACCTCATCTGAGCCCTTCACCCCTGGGGCAATCTCTCCTACCCTAGGGGTTTGCATCCACTCCCACTCAGGGCTGTGGTAGGGCCTGGGGTCTGCTGGCGCCTGGGGAAATGGCCCAAATGACCTCTGTCCTCTATTCTGCCATCTGCTTCCCTGCCCTTAGGGTTTGCAGATTTTTCCCAGGACAAAGGACAATAATTGAAGGAGAGAGGACAGAGGAGAGAGCAGAGATGGACTAAGAGAGCTGGCCTCTACCCTCAGAGGATCTAGAGGGTAGTGAGCAGACCCAGATCCCATGGAAGCCACACCAGGATGTTGGCCAGGCAGGCGTGACCGAGAATCCCTGTTCAGGAGGGTGTGGAGAGGGACAGAGGCATTCTCCTGGCTGGGCCTGTCCCTGCAGGTGGACACATGGGTGGAGGGTGATGGGCAGGGGGATGGAGCAGGGGCCTCGGAGGGTGCCAGGGCCATTTCTGCTGCCCAGGCCCCCTGCGCACACCACCATCCCCCTCCACCACCCAACAACCTGGAGCTGGTGACCCTCAGGGTCTCATGCCATAACCTTTACTCTTTCTTTTCCAGTTGCCACAGGTGGCCACAGGCAGGCACCAGGATCCTGGACATTAGGAGCCACCACCGCCCTCTCTGTTGCCTGAAGTCCTGCCCTGTCCCCATCTCTCCTCTGCTCCCTGCCCTCCACCTGCTGCCCTGGGCCCAACCCGCCTGCTGCCGGATCCTGGCATGTCAAGGCCTGGCCTGCTCCTGCCTGCCCAGCCCGCG